TGAAGATCTTACTCCACTGGCTTCTGGCTTCCACTGTAGCTGTTTAAGAATTCTGTTGTTGTTTCAATTATAGTTCTTTTATAGCAGGGGTTGGCAAACATATTAAAGGAACAAAGAGTAAATATTTTGTGGTTTGTGGGCCATATGGTTTCAATGGTAACTGTTGCAGTTACTCAATTCTGCCACTGAAGTCCAAAGCAGCCACAGGCAATGCAGAAATGAACCGGAGTGGCTGTGTCCTAACATTTTATTTACAAACACAGTTTGTCAACATCTGCTTTATAGTGATGTGTACCTTCCTTCTCTTTGATTGCTTTCTAAAATCTCTTTGCCTTTGGTGTTTTGCAATATCACTACTATATGTCTAGGTGTGGATTCTCCTTTATCCATTTTTTGCTTCCAGGATTCATCTTCTTTTTAATTAATTAATTAATTTATTCTTGGCTGTGTTGGGTCTTTGTTGCTGCGCACGGGCTTTCTCTAGTTTCGGCAAGCAGGGGCTACTCTTCGTTGCAATGCGTGGGCTTCTCATTGCGGTGGCTTCTCTTGTTGCGGAGCACGGGCTCTAGAATGCGGGCTTCAGTAGTTGTGCCGCATGGGCTGAGTAGTTGAGGCTCACAGGCTCTAGAGTGCAGGCTCAGTTGTTGTGGCACATGGGCTTAGTTGCTTCACAGCATGTGGGATCTTCCCGGACCAGGTCCTGAATCTGGGCCCAAACCCATGTTCCCTGTATTGGCAGGGGGATTCTTAACCACTGTGCCACCAGGTAAGACCTATAATTTCTATCATTTTGAAAAATTTTGGCTATCAGCTCTTTAAACACTTTTTTTTCAGTTCTCCTACTCTTTCTCTTCTCTTTCTGGGAATTTGACTGCATATATACTGTCCTGCTTTATATTGTCCCACAGATCACTGAGGTTTTGTTCCTATATTTTCAGTGTTTTTTGTTTGGTTTTAAATCTCCCTTTTTGTATTTGGATCGTGCTGTCACTGTTTTCTCATTCACTGATCTTTTCCTCTGCTAATCCCTTGTAGTGATAATTTTACTTCAGATATCATATTTTTGATCTTTAGAAGTTCCGCTTAGTTCTTTTAAAATGTTTACTTCTCATTATATTCAAGTTTTTCTTTATATCTTTGTACTTATTCATAATATTTATAATAACTATCTTAAAGTCCTTGTTTAGTAGTTTATAATCTATCATTGTTGGGTCTGTTTCTACTGATTGATTTTCCCCTGGTTATGGTCTATATTTTCCTGATTTCTTCACATTGTTGCAGGAAAGAATCCAAGAGTGAGCCATAGTAAAGTGAAAGGTTTATTCAGGGAGATACACACTCCAAAGACAGAGTGTGGTCCATCTCAGAAGGTGAGAGAGGCCTCATCTTCTTTTTAAAACATCAGTTCAGGAAAAACATTAGCCATTACCTTTCCAAACAGTCTCTTTCTTACATTCTTTTTGGGATTCTTGTTTTGCTAGACCTTTGCATTCTATCCTCCATAATCATTATTTTTCTTCATGTTTTCTCTTTTTGTCTCTCAGAGCTACATTCTGTGAGTTTCTTTCAGTTCATTAACTCTCTTGTTAGCTATCTTTTTTACCCTCTCCATAGTGGCTTTTTTTAAAAAATAAATTTATTTATTTATTTTTGGCTGTATTGTGTCTTTGTTGCTGTGTGCAGGCTTTCTCTAGTTGCAGCGAGCAGGGGTTAAACTTCATTGCAGTGTATGGGCTTCTCATTGCGGTGGCTTCTCTTGTTGCGGAGTACAGGCTCTAGGCGCGCAGGCTTCAGTAGTTGCAGCACGTGGGCTTAGTTGCTCCATGGCATGTGGGATCTTCCCAGACCAGGGCTTGAACCCATGTCCCCTGCATTGGCAGGCAGATTCTTAACCATTGCACCACCAGGGAAGTCCCCATACTGGCTTTTGATTTCAGGAATTCTATTTCTCATTTCTAAAAGTTGCCTTGAATTTCTTCTTTCCAAACAGTATCTTCTTGTGTGTCTCCTTCGTGACTATGTTAGCTCTAAATATTTCAAATATTCTATATAACAATTCCAGTATCTGCATTCCTTGGGTGACCAATTCTGAGTTAATTTTTTTCCCTCCGCTCTAATTGACTGTTTGCAGAATATGGGTATTTCCCTGGCTTTGGCTATTAGCTTGCTAGGGTTGCCATGACAAAATAACACAGGATGAATGGCTTAAACAGCAGACATTTATTTCCTCACTGTTCTGGAGTCTAGGAGTCCAAGATCAAGGTAGAAGCAGGTTGTTTTCTCCTCAGACCTCTTTCCTTGGCCTGAAGGTGGCCACCTTCTGTGTCCTCACATGGTCTTTCCTCTGTGTGCAAGCATTCCTGATGTTTTTTAATCTCCTTTCCTTAAAAGGACACCAGTCACACATGCATCCCAATGTTCACTGCAGCACTATTTACAATAGCCAGGTCATGGAAGCAAATGTCCTTCATCGACAGACGAATGGATGTCCATCGACAGACGAATGGATAAAGACGATGTGGTGCACACATACAATGGAATATTACTCAGCCATAAAAAGGAGCAAAATTGGGTCATTTGTAGAGACGTGGATGGACCTAGAGACTGTCATATGAGTGAAGTAAGTCAGAAAAAGAAAAACAAATATCATATATTAACACATATATGTGGAATCTAGAAAAATGGTACAGATGAACCAGTTTGCAAGGCAGAAATAGAGACACAGATGTAGAGAACAAATGCATGGACACCAAAGGGGAAAGGGGGGGTGGGATGAATTGGGAAATTTGGATTGACATACATACACTAATATGTATAAAACAGATAACTAATGAGAACCTGCTGTATAGCACAGGGAACTCCACTTCACTGTACAGTAGAAACTAACAACATTGTAAAATAACTATACCCCAGTAAGAAAAAAAAGAACACCAGATTGGATTAAGGCCCACCCTAATGGCCTTTTTATTTAACTACCTCTCTTAAGGCCCTATCTCTAAATACAGTCATATTCTGAGGTAAGAGGGGATTAGGGCTTCAACACATGCATTTGGTGGTGGTGACAGGGGTGGGGTAGCGGGGGAGACACAATTCAGTCTGCAACAGCTATGTATGTGAAGTCCTTGGTGTTTTATATAGCATTTCTATGTTTAGTTTCCTATGTTGATAGAAGTCCTCTATACTCATTTAAAAGTATTTCAAACATTATTTGAAAAAGTATTCAGGACCTCATTCCCCAAAACTATGACTAAGAGCCCACAATAAAATTCTAAGGTTAATTTTTTTTTCTCCTGGGATACAAGAGGTTATTTACTATAAGACTTCATTCAGACGGCACTGTTTCTGGGAATGGAAATTTATTTATAGATATCAGATTTAAGATAATACTAATTTTGACATTTTTGCTGCTGAAAGCAGCATAAGCAAAGAAAAAGACAGCTTTTGGAGTCAGATCTGTGTTTGAAATGTTGCCATACTGTTTTCACTCTTTACTACTGTGCTTCTTTGAACAAATTATTTAACCTTTCTGAACATCAAAGGTGGATAATTCTATTCTTTCTGTGGATTATCCAAAGGATTAAATGAGCATGCCATCTAAAGCAATAGTTCTAAAATTTGACAGGGTGACTAAAGAATGTTGAGAAGTACATTTTAAAAAATACAGTTTTTAGGTCTGGTCAGCAGAATATTCCATGGGTTTATGGTGGGGCTTAGGAATGCATAATCTTTAACTTCCTCAGGTGATTCTGAATGTAGCCAAATTAAAAAATTATAGATTGCTCTCACTCTGGTCCTACACAGTCCTGCTAATTGATTTTGATAAATACAGCTGACCCTTGAACAACACCGGGGTTAGGGCACTGACCCCCCCTCACAGTCAAAAATCCACATATAACTCTACAGTCAGCCCTCCGTGGCATCCATGGCTTTAACCAACCACTGATAGTGAAATACTGCAGTGTGTCTTTATTGAAAAAGATCTGTGTATAAGTGGACCCGTACAGTTCAAACCCATGTTGTTCAAGGGTCAACTGTATATTTTAAATGGTGGGGAAGTTACAGAAGAGGTTCCTAAATTTAGTAAAGGTAATTTGACATTTCTTGAAAGATACATGTGGGCTCTTAAAAATGTGATTAATTTGAGTGCTGGGTTTATTTACATACAACTCTCCGGGACCTAAGAAAAAAATGAAAGCAGTCTGCAATATATATGCAAGAAGAAAACAGAAATATATGATAGAGGATAAAAAGTAGGAAAAACGTGACCAAGGAGAAGAATGGAGGAAGAAGCCATTCTAAATAATAGAAAGAGAATGGAGACAATAAGTAAAGGTAAACTTAAAACATTTTAAATAAACGATTGTGTTTAATTACAGAATACACTATGATTGTACAAATGCCAACACAAAAGAATGAAAGTTCCTCTATTCCCACCTGTTATTTACCTTTTGAGAATTTCTTATACACACATACACACAAACTTTCTTTGTTAGTTTTTCAAAAATATACATATAGGTTAGTACTATTTTGCAACTTGATTTTTTTCATTACTCAGTAGTACATCATGAACCTCTTCTGGTTCAGTATATACAGAACTTACTTGTGTTTAATGGCTGGATATGTCACTCATGTTCAGTAACATGAACATACTGTAATTTATTTTACCAATCCCTTTGCTGATGGACATTTAGGTTAACTTCATTGTTTTGCCATTACAGGTAATGCTGAAATGAACATCCTCTTCATATACAAATATACATATATATATATATATTTTTTGCGATACGCGGGCCTCTCACTGTTGTAGCCTCGTCCGTTGCGGAGCACAGGCTCCGGACGCGCAGGCTCAGAGGCCATGGCTCATGGGCCTAGCCGCTCCGCCAGCATGTGGGATCTTCCCGGACCGGGGCACGAACCCGTGTCCCGTGCATTGGCAGGCGGACTCTCAACCACTGCACCACCAGGGAAGCCCTACAAATATAATTTATTATATATTCTCCACATATATGTAATATATAAAATTCAAATTATATATACATATTATATATATTTACTTGCATTTGTGCAAATATTTCTGTAGGCCTGATTCCTGGGCAAAAGGAAATGCCTTACTCTTCTGCCTTTTTCTATATGACAAATTTCTGACTTTATTTGTTAACTAAGAAATGACTTCTGTTTCAAAATATGCCAAATGCATGCAGCTTTCAGTAGCACACACTGTAGATTAGGACTTGGTGAACTTGAGGACTGAAAGGATTTCTTGGCCTGCTTGCCTGGAAAGTGCAGTGGTCCCTTGTAAACCTTTTGTCTTCATTATTTTCAAAATTTCTTCTAAAACGAAAATTAAAACAAAAGGTAAAATCCAATTAAATCATATGGTGAAGTACATATTATCACTAAACAGTTTAATAAGATGATAAACACAGACTATTTACAAATTCTATTTATCTAAGAAAATAGCGTATACCATGTAATTTCCATTGAAGTGAACTTGGACTTCAGACAGATGAGAGCACCTTGGATTTTCAGGGTGTTGCTGAGAATTCTAATCAGACTGAATAACTGCTTTGCAGTGGTAGCCTACTCTGGACTCAACAGAAACGTTAGTTATACTTGCTATTACAGTAAATGATTCATTTTTTAGTTGCTTGGCTCTAATCTCTGCCCTATATCCTCCCTTTTGGATGAAAAATGCCAACGAGGGTGTGTGCAAATCATATACTGACACTGAAAAGTGGTAGTAAATGAAGTAGCTTATTTCTTTAAAGAGTACTGAAAAAAGCAAGACCTTCTCTTTCCAAATAACTAACACTAAAAAGATGAAACCAAGAAACTGGGGTCACAAAAAAAAAACAAATCCTCAAAACCAAACAAACCGAAAACCCTAGTTAATTATGATGTGATTTGAGGGGCTGAGAATGTAACATATAAGATAATAATCAAACCTGAGATGTACAGAAAAGAGAAGAGAGATTATGGTCGATTTAGTTAACCAAGTAATCTGAAAACCAAGATATAAAAATCCTATCAGGAGATACCTTTCATGATAAAACTTCAGATGAACTAAAGAGTATGCAGCAGAACTGCCAAGACATGAAGACTAGAATATAGAGAGAAAATTCACAGGGTGAACTGAGGGTGAGGTGTTTTAAGAAGATTATAGATTCTGTATTTGAATATTAGTTGATAAATTAGGGAAAAAAATCTCCCTCACTCCAAAAAAGACAATACTTTTTAAAATCAGAAAAATCTACCTCTAAAAAATCTCTCTCCTCTTTCAACATGAATGTTATGTCTGTATTATCTGTTGTCAGTGATTACATTCATTAAGTCTTTGACATAATTAGCCTTGATTTCAGCAAAGTAAATGGTTAAAAGATAAACTGGTCTGTATTACCTGGATTGTTTTCTTTAATGGTGACTAAATAGAACAATCCTCTTGGTGAAAGGAGCTCTGGAGCCAGTGGAAACAATCTGTCCATGACTTCACGACCATTTCTGCCACCAGCCCAAGCTGCCTCTATCCCGTGACTCCTTACCTGTGACCAATTAGAAAGATTGTTCTGTTTTGACTTAAGTTACATTAAAAAAAACTGAATCTTTTTGACAAGTAACGTTCACCAAACAGTTATGTACTTTTTATTTTACTGCTGATGAGGAGGCAGCAGTAAAGCTGAATCTGAGCCCCATCATTTCCTAGCATGTGTGACCTTGCATAAGCCTGTAATCTTTTTTTTTTTTTTGCCCTTGCGATAAATCTTTGTGTGATTAGCAACATAAAGCTAAAGGTCCTAAATATCTGTCACCATTTCACATTTAATTATGGCAGCTGGCACTACAGGAGAAAACTCCCTCACAGAACCCTTCATGTCTCCAAATCTTATACAGATAAGTCTGCAATCTTGATGAATTAGTTTCCTCTCTTACCCGTAAAATTAGAAAAACAACAGTTTTATCTGTAAAATTAGGAAAATGATAAAAAATTATTTTTGTCCTTTAGGAATAAATGAGGAAGTATATTTAAAGTTTGAGAACAGTGCTCTGTGCATAATAATGTGATTTAATAATAGTTGATACTATTAATACAATGTTTAAATTCTTATACTTAATATAGAACAATTAGGAAGAAACTGAAAGGGAGAACTTGTATTATAAGAGATCTACTTTGCAGAAACAAAGTTTCAAAATGTCCCACTGTATCTGGCTGTCTTCTAGATTACTGAGAGTACTACAGCCCTTTTTCAGGAACCCATTTATTACATAAAAGTACATTGAAGCATTTTTTCCTACAATGATCTAATTACAGTATAGAAACAAAACCCATGAGTTTATATAGTATTAAAAATCTTTAGATGCTTAACATTGTATATTGTTTCTAAAACTTAAGAATACATTGAGAGATGAATGGATAAAGAAGATGTGGCACATATATACAATGGAATATTACTCAGCCATAAAAAGAAATGAAATTGAGTTATTTGTAGTGAGGTGGATGGACCTAGAGTCTGTCATACAGAGTGAAGTAAGTCAGAAAGAGAAAAATAAATACCGTATACTAACACATATATATGGAATCTAAAAAAAAAAAAAGTGGTCATGAAGAACCTAGGGTCAGGACAGGAATAAAGATGCAGACCTACTTGAGAATGGACTTGAGGACACGGGGAGGGGGACAAAGTGAGAGAGTGGTAGTGTATATATGGACATATATACACTACCAAATGTAAAACAGATAGCTAGTGGGAAGCAGTCACACAGCACAGGGAGATCAGCTAGGTGGTTTGTGACCACCTAGAGGGGTGGGATAGGGAGGGTGGGAGGGAGGGCGACGCAAGAGGGAAGAGATATGGGGATATATGTATATGTATAACTGATTCACTTTGTTATAAAGCAGAAACTAACACACCATTGTAAAGCAATTATACTCCAATAAAAATGTTTAAAAAAAAGAATATCTTGATGAAATCACTCAAAAACTACTTAAACCCTAATACAATTATTTTCTTCCTAATCCCTTTAATGGTTTTTGTCCACATTTTAGTTTAAATTATTTACATACAATTATACATTCTGCTTTTATTCATTTATCATGGCATATATTTCCCCATTAAAAATAATTTCTTGGGAATTGCCTGGTGGTCCAGTGGTTAGGGCTCCACACTTCCGCTGCAGGGGGCATAGGTTTGATCCCTGGTTGGGGAACTAAGATCCCGCAAGCCCGTAAAAAAGAATTTCTTTATACCTATAACCATATACATGTAAAATTAAGAGAAATATGTTTGTATACCTCCTTTAAAAAAAAAAAACTGTACTTTTCCCTTTTCCTGTTTTGCTTGTCTGCTACCCTCCCATCTTACATACACACACACACGTTTTTCTTTTTTGTCCGTGTTTTACAAAAAAAGGATTATATCTACATTCTTGCCTGTATCTTGCTTTTCTCAACAGTACCATATGGAAATCTCTTCATGTGATCAGGTATAGTTCAATTTCCTTTTTAATGGCTGCATAATATTTTATTGTGTTAGAGTATCTTTTCTTATTTAGCTATTGATGGGCATTCAGCATGTCCATTTGCATAATTTTTTTGTATCTAATTTAAATTATTCTCATATTTATCATAAGCTCCTCAATATAATTTCCCACATAGTTAATAATACTAGGGAATTTATCAGTTCCTCTGCTTTTTTTGTCACACCTTTCATCCTGGAGACTTCCCTTTTCTAACATTCCAAGAATTCCCTTTTTCTGGGGCCCATATCTTCCCGTTTCTTGGCTTACTCCCTTATTTTGGTGGAGCCCATTCTCTGGATGTTTCACAGGGTAAAGTTACCCGTGGAAAGAGTGCATGGTGATGACAGCTTTTGCCAAGCCTGTCCCTTGTCACTTCTGTTTCAGTGTGGACTAGGAGCCCTCTGTGCTGGACCCTGTTTACACGCCCCCCAGGGATGCTCAGCCAGGTTTGTCTGCTTGCACTAGAGACCACCCGCCAGGAGGATCTCCTGGCGACAAGCACATTCTCACAGGCCATGGAGGGGAAGTTTTCATCTCTGGAAGGAGTCACGTTCGGTGGTCTGCTGACTGCCTGCTACCTGGGCTTTGCTGTGCCTTCCCCTGATCCTTTATAAGTCACAGGTACAAACCAACAGTACCTAACCTCATGTTGAGTGATGTAATAGTAAGTATAGCCACAACTTTTTATATGTACAAACTCCTATTATTTGTATGTCTCCTGGATCTAACCTCTAAGTCTCTTAACTTTTACCTTCATTGTTTCCTTTTTTTTACCTTCATGCTCAATGCACTGAAATATTTTCATTTAGTTTCCATACCACTGATTCAGGTCTTGACAGAGACTACATTATCTTTAAATTCATTTCCTAATGTTTTACATAGTAAAACATATTTTCAGGCTCCAGAAAATCTGTGTTGTGCTGTATTTAACCCTGCTCTCCAGCTAATTGCTCAGCTAATGGAAATTATGACACTAGCTCTCTCTGTTGCAACTGTGACAAAGCCCAAGTCACTGCCCACACTCAATTACGTACATAATTACACACACAGCTTAGGAGTAGGAATGTGGGAGAAAGGAAGCCCATTCATCCCATCATGTTCCCAGAATCTCCTCCTCATTCACTAGTCTTCCCAGTAGTCTGTAGACCTGATAAACCATGATTTACTTAACTGTCTCTCTTCTGTTACATATATAGGTTCATATTACTTGTTATCATAAATAAAGGTGTACTAAACATATTTTTGTAAATTACAATTTATATTCTATTGTTAATCATTTTCCTAAATTAGATCTCAAAGACTGAGGTTACTGGACTAAAACATTTTTGTCACGCTTGATATTTATTTCCATAGTGCTTTTCTAAAGAGTTTTATTAAGCTGCAGGGACTTCCCTGGTGGTGCAGTGATTAAGAATCCTCCTGCCAGTGCAGGGGAGACGGGTTCAATCCCTGGTCCGGGAAGTTCCCACATGCAGAGGAGCAATAAGCCCGTGCGCCTCAACTACTGAGCCTGCGCTCTACAGCCTGCAAGCCACAACTACTGAGCCCACATGCCACAACTACCGAAGCCCACGTGCCTTGAGCCCTTGCTCTGCAACGAGAAGCCACCACAATGAGAAGCCCGCGCACCACGACAAAGAGTAGCCCCCGCTCGCCGCAACTAGAGAAAGCCCGCGTGCAGCAACGAAGACCCAACGCAGCCAAAAATAAATAAATTTATATATTAAAAAAAGTTTTATTAAGCTGCATTTCCCTCAACTGCTGTTCACCTTATGACAATGACTTTCCTTCTCACATGAGTTCATATGTCAGGGGAGCAACAACTTCTCAGTAGTAACAGCAGCAATATAGACCCTTCCCATCCTGGTAAAGGTGAATGTAATATTTATCAGCCTTGCCAGAGAGTGATCATCAAAGAATAAAATAGGTACAATAATTCAGAGGAAAGCTAGCTAGTCCATCACTAAACTTTTGTCTGCTTTGACCATTCTTTCTTTAAACTGGGAAATGGTTACTGCGGTTTTCCTCTTCATCACTGGAAATGCTACAGCAATGCATGTCAGGGTTATAGCTTTTTCCTACCTGAGATGAGGACTGCTTTCCCCCACCCCCACTTCCTGACACCTGTGAAAGGAAGAAAGCTAAGGCTTTCAGAAATAATTCCTATGTGAATTTAAGGTGATTAAAAATATTTTTTTTTGCAAATTTGTTATTCATGATAAAGGTACACACAGATACATGAATTTAAACACCATGGCTTGATTTGGATGGGATTTTAAAGAATAGATATGGACCACAGTTTGTATTTCCATTAGTTTTAGGTTCCTTTCCTATGTCTACCAATAGTATCCAATAATTGACAATTACGAGTAAAATGAGAGCAGTCTGTGTTATTAGCGGCTGACTGATGTCATATGATGAAGTATGTTTGACTTTTAGATAGAAAAAAGCTGAAAATATTAGTAATTAAATTTTGTTGTATGTCTTACCTCTTCAGGTGGAGTCACTACATAGGGAGGATTAAACACCAGAAGATCAACTTTTTCCTTCAATCTTGGTAGCAAGCCTTTGACCTAAAAAATGTTCAAAATAGTCAGAATTTTAAGCTGGACCCAGAAATAATAAATAAGTAGATGGATAGATAGGTATCCATCTAATCAATCTTTAAATATACTCCCTCATGTTTTTAGAAAAAATGTGTTAGAGAGCCAAATTTAAGACAGAAATGGAGATAAATATCTTTACACTTTCATTCAGATAAAGATTATATGCATTTACCTAAAAATAGGGAAAATAAACTATTTATCAGAATGAACACTCTGCTCTTTAACAGCTCACATGTTTACATTCTGGGCTCACTTTTAGAAGATGGAGGCAAGCTCTCACATATTCTGCATAGATTTGTGCACAACTTTAAAGTTATAGCTGCTAACTTAAACATTTATTTTCTATAACCAAGGGAAATATTTTACAAGATGACAGAAAACATACATGAATGACAAAAATATCAGAAGACAGAATTTTGTTTTTCTTTCTACGTCTTTAATTACTTGTATATGTATTGGCTAAAACAATTAGATATCAAAGAAACAAAGGACTAAAAATAGTGGGAAGAGACCTGAAAACATCAGTTGTTTGGCATTTTATAAATATTTGAACTGATACAACTTTCTATAGAATAAGAAAAATGTCTTTTTAAAGAAAGTATATTTAGGGCAAAATGTCATTTAAAGCATCCCTCTGATTGAATTAAATAACTAAGTATTTAAAAAATTATGTCTGATGATGTCATCCTATACCTTCGCAGGCACAGTAAAGTAAAAATGCTGTATCCGGATGAGTTCTCACCCCTAAAGCCATTTCCTTCAAATATTACTTCACACTGACTCTCACTCACGAATTCCAACCCTGTTATTCTTCAAAGGTAATTTCTTTCTCTACTCATTTAAAAAGAGAACAGATAACTATTTTATGGAACATAATTCAGGTGTATCTTCTACAAGTTGAAAGGCGACTAGTTAATCTGCTGTTCTTTCTAGTAATAACATTGGTGAGGAAGTACATTTGAAATAACCAAAAGCTTTATTTTCAATTCCATAAAGAAATTAAGTTTCCCAATTGTAAAAAGAGTTCAAAAATGTAATTTTCAGGAAATGCTGAGTAAGGAAATTAGAAAAGAGTTTGCTGTGTAATTACTTATGATGGCCCTGAGGTACTATATACTAATAATCATTTCAGTACTGGACTTCAAATAAAGGAACAAATTGATACTAAAAAAATAGAAAATTACGGAGTTAAAAAGAAAATGGATTTAAATGAGAAGTCACTGTGGACTGGATATAAAATCTAATTACAGTCAACCCTCACTCATCCATATCTACCTTTTGAATAGTCTCACAGCACTAGAATAAACCCAAGAATTAAGAAGTAAGCAAAAAAGGCCTCTGACAGCAAGTTTTAAATCCATACAGCAAAAGGTACTCTGTGTGAGAAGCACTTATTCAGAATCCCTTAACTCTTAGTTTAAATACAAGTCTAACTAAATTAATTGTTTGGTATTCTAGCACAAAGCACATGAAAAGAGCCAGGAAAGTGCTATCAATGGGTAGCAGTGAAACATGACAACATAAAGCAAGTGAAAAGACAGACAAAGAGGAGAGAAAATAAAAACTCAAAATCACTGCAGGCTATAGCTACTTAATGTAAAGGCAGAAACACCTGAATAAACCTTAGTCATTATCACGTATAGTACAGAATAATAACTGATATTCATATTAATGACCCTGAATCACTAAAAGGTAAAATTATGTTCATTTTGTTTTAAGAATGTAAGGAAATGCATAAGACATATTTGAAAAAGGTTTTTTTCTAAAACTACAAAAGAAATACAATGAAAGTACTACTTTGTGAACAAACTCAGTTAACCAAAACAATGATTTTCTTTTATATGATAGCTGTGACACCCTATGTCCAGTGTTCTGAATACAAGCAAATGTAAAGAGTTTTGTAATCTGATCACAATACCCATGCTCATACCTATCTCTTCCTACCTTCTTTGCCACAAGTCAACACTCCGCATCATGGTCAGCTTTCGTTACTGAAAGAATGGATTCTGACAGCTTTAGAACTGACTACCACCAGTCATGTTATAAAACAGCTGTGAGACCTCTCAACTTTGATTCAGAAGATGTGGGCTTAAATTCTGGATTTATCACTTTATTAGTTATGTGACTTTCAAAAGTGTCCCTTACCTCTGTTAACAAAAATAGATATTCTGAATTTCTTGTATCTCTAAAGTTTTATTGTTCTATCAAAAAAAATATAATACTAATTATGGACACATTAAAGAAACAACTTTAAAAATTTAGGGACTTCCCTGGTGGCACAGTGGTTAAGAATCCGCCTGCCAATGCAGGGGAAATGGGTTTGATCCCTGGGTCCAGGAGGATCCCACATGCTGCGGAGCAACTAAGCTCGCAAGCCACAACTACTGAAACCCGCGTGCTCTAGGGCCCATGTGCTGCAACTACTGAAGCCCGCATGCCTAGAGCCCATGTACTGCAACAAGGGAAGCCACTGCAATGAGAAGCCTGTGCACCGCAACGAAGAGTAGCCCCCGCTCGCTGCAACTAGAGAAAGCCCGCGCACAGCAACAAAGACCCAACGCAGCCAAAAATTAGTAAATTAATTAAAAAATAAATAAAATAAAAATTTAAAGAGTAAAATCACCACACTGATTGAGTATCTTTCTTGATAGTCTAATTTTTAATGGCAGTAACAACTTCTAGTGGTATGTATAGAACTTCTTAGATCTTTGGCTTAATTCCTTCTAAGTTGCAAAATCATTTGTGAGTTTAAAAAAGAGAAAAGCTCAATACCCTTACCAGTACAAGAATAATACATGTCAAGAAGCATGGAAAGCATTTTATATTTCTTATGCCCACCTGTACATACTATTATGATTTTTGCTTATAAAAAGGCATTCACATTTATAACTGAAAAAAAGTTCAGAATCATCCAAATCTTACTAATATAATGTAAAATGTTTTAAAAACTGGAACTGAAAAACGTACGATGTGTAACTTAAAATGATGGTAGTCGTCATTTGTTGTTTTTACCTGCCCAGGACCCATTCTGCCTTTCATCTGATTACATGTCCTTGACTTTCATTGGGGAAACTCTACCTCCTCTCATTCTCAATCCAAGTGGCTTGGATTATCCCAACCGAGCTGCTGGAGTGGGACTATGACTCAGGCTCAAGCCAATCATGTGCATATTCCAATCCCCCTTGAGAGATAGGTGTATGACTAAAGCTGATATAAATGGCACTCATTCTGGGGCTTCTGCTAGAGTAACTGAATAGAAAGTGTTTCTTTCCCTGTGAAGTTGCTGAGAAACAAGATACATACATGCAAGCATCTTGTTACCATGAAGGGAACGACTGCTGAGGAATACAGCCACTAGAGAGAAGTTTACAGTTAAGAAAAAGATGCCTGTAACATCATTTGAGTTCCTGAAACTGTTCACTCTTTTTATTAAAGCCAGTTTGAGCATTCTTCTGACTGAAAGATACCTGATCTATACAGGCCAAGAGAAAGTTCCCTTGAATTGTGGAAAAGATGGATTATCTCAGTCAAGAATTTACTTTGTTCAGCGGGTTAAAAGTTAATTAATGACTCAAGTTTCTTTGACCTAAATCACCTTGACCTTAACTTACTTGAAAAGAAAATTAATTATTACAGTACTGGACAAGGACTAACAGCTTACCAAATCGGTAATTATTGGTTGAATGTGGACTTTGTTACAGCGTGCTGTCTCCAGGGTACATGCTGCTGCCTCAGGGTTGACATCAGTGCACCTATAAACAGAAAAAAACCAACTACATCCTGTGTCTACGGACAAAAATTCAAGGAATGCTCTACTCCTTTTACATAAAGTAGATCTATAAAAAAAATTGGAATGCTTTAATAATGGTGAATTAAAAAAAAGAACTCAGGGGCTTCCCTGGTGGCGCAGTGGTTGGGAGTCCGCCTGCTGATGCAGGGGACATGGGTTTGTGCCCCGGTCCGGGAAGATCCCACATGCCGCGGAGCGGCTGGGCCCGTGAACCATGGCCACTGAGCCTGTGCGTCCAGAGCCTGTGCTCCGCAACGGGAGAGGCCACAACAGTGAGAGGCTCACGTACCACAAAAAAAAAAATTGTTATATTGATATAATGTCCAAGAGTAGAAGAATACACTTACATGCACACATATCTGAAGGAATTTATTAAATTATGAATCCAGCAGGAGAATACTATGTAGCTACCAAAACTGAAATTTAAAAGGAAAATGCTCATCATACAATATTAAATGAAAAACATGGGAAATGAAAAAACAATAGAGGAAACACAGTTGGACCATGTGTGGTAAAATTTATAGGTGATTAAAAAAAATTATTTGGTTGCACCTGGTCTTAGTTGTGGCACGTGGGCTCCTTAGTTGCGGCAGGTGGGTTCCTTAGGTGTGGCATGCAAACTCTTAGTTGCAGCATGCAGGTGGGATCTAGTTCCCTGACCAGGGATCGAACACAGGTTCCCTGCATTGGGAGTGTGGAGTTTTAAACACTGAACCACCAAGGTGATTTTTATTTTCTTCTTTATATTTTCTATATTCTCAAATATTCTAAAGAGAAATTTTATTAACTTCCAATTTTTTCTGATAATCAACTTATTTATCTGAAATAAGATTCATTTTTTTATTCCAATAATTTAATAGAAAATTAAAATAATATATAATATGAAAAAAATTGAGAAGATGCTGAGCTGGTGCAGGCCCAGGCCGGCCTAGTACAAAGTTAAGGAGGTAGGGAGGAAGGTGGGGAAGCAGGAGGGAGGCAAACTGCCCTGCACAATGGTGAGGAGGCAGCTCAGAATGTGGTGGGTGTTATCAACGGCTGGCTTGACACTTTGGTGCGTACAATGTACTAAAAAAAACCAAAGGGAATTCTAAATCCTTCTAAACCAGCTGGTGAGGGAAGAGGGCAGGACAAGGATGGGGATGAGGGAACCAGTGTAGGCCTTCTGAAGGCCTCTGAGGGGAGGGGCTGGAATGTACTGTGTGGTTAGCAATGAGGTGGGAATGGATGGAAAAGGGCCAAAGTGAACTGTAACATGCAATGAAGGGATGGAAGAAAGACCCACGACTTGGCCAGCAAAGCTGGGGCAAAGGTCTCGGAAGGGGAGGAAGAGAGCGAGGGACTGGGTCCCAGTAGCTTGGGTGCAGTGGTTAAGAATCCACCTGCCAATGCAGGGGACACGGGTTTGACCCCTGGCCCAGGAAGATCCCACATGCCGTGTAGCAACTAAGCCCATGCACCACAACTACTGAGCCTGCTCTCTAGAGCCTGCAAGCCACAACTACTGAGGCTGCATGCCACAAATACTGAAGCCCACACTCCTAGAGCCTGTGCTCTGCAACGAGAAGCCACTGCAATGAGAAGCCCGCGTACCGCAAGAGTAGCCCCCACTCGCCACAACTAGAGAAAGCCCATGCGCAGCAACGAAGACCCAATGCAGCCAAAAATAAATAAATAAATTTTTAAAAAAAGATTCAAATTTAGAGATGACCTAAAATTATTATGCTTCTTATATAATTATGCAGTATGATGGAATGGTTTTGAACACGCAATTATAACTTTTAGGGAAGCATAACTTGCATCTGAATACTTACTACGCTTAAATAGACACTATCAGATACATATTATTTACTTACAAAAATGATTTAATTCAAGCAGTTATATCCATAGTGAATCTCTTAGACCAAGATGTGGATGAATTTGTATACTTACATGTACAATGCTTGAGGACCTATCATAGAGGCTAGGAATGCAGATACCACTCCAGACCCTGACCCTACTTCAAGGCATATTTCCACTCTAAAAAAACAAAATAAAACAAGTATTAGTAGTGGTATTAAAATACACATCTCGGGGGGCTTCCCTGGTGGTGCAGTGGTTGAGAGTCCACCTGCCAATGCAGGGGACACGGGTTCGTGCCCCAGTCCGGGAAGATCCCACATGCCGCGGAGCGGCTAGGCCCATGAGCCATAGCCGCTGAGCCTGTGCGTCTGGAGCCTGTGCTGTGCAACGGGAGAGGCCACGACAGTGAGAGGCCCGCGTACCGGGAAAAAAAAAAAAAAAATACACATCTCGGAAAATAACTCATGCTACTTTTATGTCTGTTTCTCCAGCATCATCCCTCACCTACAAATATATGGAAATATAAAAGAAATTTATAAATAAGCTAATTTCCGACAACCACTTTGTGCTTAATACTGCATAGTTCAAAACTGTTTGGGGGTATGTAATTTATTTTAAGTCTGTAAGATAGTAATATAACAGGTAGCTTTCAATTAATTTCTATAAAACATTACATAAACCATGGAATGTTAATTTAGGGTTGGAAATATTAATATGGAAGACATCAGCCCTTCCCACAAGGAGCTTCTAGTTTGGTATTTCCTAAAATGATAGGATATTATTACAATATTTATTTATGAAAAACATTTTCTCTGTCACTTTGAAGTAATTCATAAGTCCATCAGCATATCCCAGGGAAAGAAAAGTTCCCCCATTCTACTGATAATAGATTTAGAGCAGCAAAGAAATTCCGTATTTGTACAGCTTTACACTGAATTGGGAAAATATCTGAGTATCTGATCTTAGAATATTAATAATACTCCTAAGAATGCTATTGAATATAATAAATTCTTGATTCTACTGTATTTGTCCTTCCCTATAATCATATATATACATCAAAGGCACGAATTATCCCCATTACAGAAATAGGTTTGATGGGATATAGGGGCCTCTCTAGCACCTAACTTTCCAAACAACTATTCAAAAACAACAAACTCCAGGGGTTTCTCACTTTTGGAACCATTTCTACACATCTGACAAGCCTTTACTGTGCTGTAGGAAGGTCTGTTGAATCTTACCAGGCGGCTTCTACTTGAAAATAACTATTGTGGCCTCATAAATAATTAAAACTCCAAGACCAGAAATACCGAAGACTTTAAAACAAAATCAGTTCCTTTTACAGCACACTTTGCAAGGCACTTTGTGCTTGTAAATCTTTCTGTGATATCTTGATAGTAAAAGACAAGTTATAAAACAGTACTGTTCCATTCTATATTCCAGTAAATCCAAAAGTTCCATCGTTCACAATGAAAAACTAGTTTAATAATAGTTGGGGCATTTTACACGTGGAAAAATCTGACCAAGAGGGATAAATAAACACAATATGGATCTTTGAAGCCTGACAACTCTTTGTTTCATCCTGAGAAAACCCATTTCAACTCTTGATCTTTACATAAATCTAATTATCCAAATTTCCTTCATTTAAAAAATGACAATGTAAAGTATTTACTCTTTTTATATTATTAATTTAAAACTTATATGAGCACGTCAACAAATCAATTTTAATACTTATTAGGAGCTAGGGTATATTCTATAGGCAGCTAGCTGCATGTAACTTTAAATTTTTTACAGTTAAATGAAAAAATCAGTACTAGTCACATCTCAAGTGCTCAGTAGTCACATGGGGCTAATGGCTGTTGCTAGATAGCTGAGTATGCTATTCAGTGGGTTTAAATACACTCCCCTACTCCAATATTTTACAACCTCATTTCCTTTTTGTGCCCTTCCATTGCTAGAGGATGCTTTTATGCACTGAGTAAATTAATGCCATGCGACACTGTTATCTACTAAAAGTTGTAATATTAAGACGCAGCGTTTTCAGAATGTTTTGCTTTTGAACGTGTTATAATATCGCTACTCTCAGGGGCTTAGGGTCCTCAGTTAACAGCTGATAGGAAAAGATACATCCCGGCGTGGTGAGGAAGCATGGAGCCCCTGAAACCAAAACACCACCTTGGCAACTGCGGACAGATCCCCGCTAAACTGACTACGTGTATCCACGGAAAAAATCCTCAGTTACGGTGTTCTGGTGTCAACTGTCGCCAAGTGGACCGACACCGCCTCCTCTCGGGGACGGCGGCGACAGTCCTTGCCTTGATCGCCCGCGGCCGCCTCTCCAGGACTCCCGAGCCCTCTCCCGCGGGGACCCTCGCCCTCCTCGCACCCCGTGAGTTCGGCTGCCGCCGCCTCGAGCGCGTCCAGCAGCAGAAATGTGTCCTCCGCGGGCTCGTACACGTCGCTGAAGGAGCCACGGCCCACATGCCTGTACAATGGCGTAGGGAAACAAGGCGCCGCCATCTTTCGCTCCTCCGGCCCACGCTTATGCGCAATGCGCATGCGTACGTGCAAGGGCGCAGGCCCAGCAGTGGGGGCGGGGCACCGGGGGGCGGAGGGTCACCTCGCTTACAGGTTGTCAGCAGATGCACCTGGAATGTCTAATTAGACGGTTATATAATCTGCAGCTACTAACATTTACTTTCTTCTTTAGAGTATTAAAATTTGTTTTATTTTGTGGACTAGCACCGGATAGAGGCAGCGTCTATTGTTTTTGATTAAGGGGAATGTTTTCTCTCTCTATTCTACACTTAGAAGTTTCCTTCTATTCCTAGTTGGCAAAGATTTGAAAAAATACATAATGTAATGGTTACTAAATTTAACCTTTTTTTTTCTTTTACATCCATTGAACTTTCAACGTTGAGCCTTAAGATTAAGATTTGTTTTCCTTATTTCATTTTTTAGTAGTGCAATATAGTACAGAAATTGCCTTTCTTATGTTGAATCATGAATGCTCTCTTTTTATAAACCTCACTCGAGCAAAACGATGCATTTTTCTTTTATTTAATACACTGTTAAATTTGAAATGCTAATGATGTAGCTCTGTTTTGTATCAGGGTTATGCTTCCTTAGGACATCGTTTCTGGAGCATTTGATAGAACTACCCATAAAACTGATTGGGCTTGGTGCTTTTAGTGGGTGGTTCTCTGGTGTTTGGGGGAATCTTCTATAGGTTATTAGACTATTCAGGTATTTGCATTCTTTTCGAGTCAGTTTTTGAAATTTCTTTCTCACTAAAATATTTAAATTTGAGAAATAAAAATACAAAGTACTTGGATAACATTTTTTAAAAACCTTGAATATCCAACACCCAGAATTGACAATTGGTAGTATTTTCTCATGTTTCCTTAAAATAGTTCTAAAATATAAGAACTAAAATATTACAAGTGACGTGGGTGTTCTTTCTGTACTCACCTTCAGTTCCATTTTGTAATCCTCAATCCAAAATAACTTATTTCATGGATTTAGGATCCGTCTAACCCATGTTTTCATGCTTTTATTCATACATTCATAGACAACATCTGGTTTATGTGTTTTCATATTTGTGTAACTGGTGATAGGTTGGATGTATTGTTCTTCAAATTTCCTTTTCACTCAACATTATCTGAGATTTGTGTTTTGGTATGTAAAGTTAGTTTACTGCTCTTAATTGCCACATAGTTTTTTGGAAATTATAAAACAATTGCTACCTGGCATGGATAAATATCAATTGGTAAACATTTAGTTTTTTCCAGGTTTTCACTGTTATGAATGACACTGTAATCAACTTTCTTAAACATGGCTTTTTCTGGTCTTTTACAGAAATTTCCTGGGATTCAACCCAGAGTGGATCAGCAGGGTTGTAATGTGTACACATTTTAAAATTTACTTGACATTTTCAAATTTCAAAATTTCTCCCCAAGCTAATTGTACTTATTTATATTTCTGCCACCTCTTTGTGGCAGATTTTAATATTGTTAGATTTATTTTTTGTTTATTTTAAATTAAATTGTTCTAATTGGTAACTGAGGTTAGGCATGTGTTCATATTTTCATCATTTGAGTTTCTTCTTTTGTGAATTGTCTGTTCATTTTTGCATATTTTTCCTTTTTGGTTTTGTTTTTATTTTTACCGAGGTTGATAACATACATAGGCCAAATAATTCTACATGATTTATTATGAAAAAACAATCCACTCTAGCACCCCAGCACCCAACTTCTCATGTCTCATTTCCCAGGGGAGGCCATTTTCAACTTTTAGCTGTTTCTTTGGCCATCTATTCCCATCTTTCTATATACCAAGCTTATAATGATATTACTTGATTTCTCAACTTTAGCATTATCTGTTGAGTTCCCATAGTAGGAGGTAAAGTTCTCATGATAGAAGGCAAGAATTTAATTCTTCTGCCTCAAATAAACAAATGTAATTGCCACTCCCTCTCTCCCCATGTTCTCAATATGATTATATCGTAATTTTTTTACATTATTTTTTTATATAAATGCTACTCAAAACAGATGTGTAATATACTAGTTACATTTGCTTTCTTGTACAACTTTTTGCTTTTCCTTAAAGTTAATAATTATCCAGTGTATTAGTTTCTTAGGCCTGTCATAACAAATTACTACAAACTAAGGGGTTTAAAAGAACAGAAATTTATTCTCCCGTAGTTCTGGAAGTGAGAAACTCAAAATCAAGTTGTTCGACAGGCCATGCTCTCCATGAAGCCTCTAGGTAAGAATCCTTCCTTGCCTCTCCTAACTTCTGGGGGTTACCAGCAATCCTTGACCTTCCTTGACTTGTGGCAGTGTAGCGCCCATCTCTCCCTTAGTCTTCACATGACCTTCTTTCCTGTATGTCTTTGTATCTCCCAATCTTTCCTTGTTAGGACACCAGTCATTAGATTTAGGGCCCTACCTATTCTAGTATGACCTCATTTTAACTTGATTATATTTGGAAAGATTCTATTTGCAAATAAGGGCATATACACAGAGGTGGGGGTGAGTGGATGGCTTAGGACCTCAGCATGTCTTTTGAGGGAATATGATTCAACCCACAACACCTAGTGATAAGTACTTTTTCACTTGCATAGTTTTCTGCATATCAAAGTTCAGCCTCAAAGTCTCTTCTAATTGTTTATCCTCTGCCTGCCCACCACCCCGCCCCACATATATTTAAAGACATTGAGAATACTGATTATTTCTATCTAATCTGTTTAGGGACCAGTATATGGCTCTGGGGTTCATTCCTTAGTTTTGCCTCTTCAGCTTCATTCTCAGGCTAATCCTCCTTTTGGTACCAGGATGGCTGCATCTTTACAGCTTCATGCCACCAAATTCAGTGGAAGAGTCTTTTTTTCCAGTTGCTTGCACAGAAGTCCTTGTCATTCGCTCTTTCTTACTGGCTCCGAATAGGTCATGTGCTAATGATTGACTTGATCCTGTGACCAGGTAGATGACATGAGCTCCCCCGCCTCTCTTGGGACGCAGAGGCGGGGGGGCCCAACACAACCAGAGAGCCAGAATGATCCACCAAGCAAAATTGTGGTACTGATATAGATGCTGGGCAAAAAACATGACCTGTCTACTACATGAAAGTTTTTCATATGTTTGGTAATTATTTGCCTTCAGTTTGTTATTGCATTTTGATTTTCAGTATTTTTTGCTATGCAGATATTTTAAAATATTTATTGAATCTACTTTTAAAGTTTCTGATTCTTGCATTGTGCTTAGTAATGTCTTTCCCACTCTCTGCACTTTGTTTTCTGGTTTTAAAGTATAGACTTCACTATATTAATTGGATCTACCTTATTAGTTAGGTCGTTAGATCTTCTAGAATCTTATTTTATATGTACTTGATTTTCTATGGCCTGAATGAAGTGATTTAATTGTTTATAATTGACGCAATCAAAAGTCTTTCATTATTAGCATGCTTCTGTCTACTTATATATTTTTTGGTAGTTTTTCATGATATACCAGTTGGGTCATTGATATTTATGATCAATATATCTTATCTGAGGATTATGTTTACTATAAAATGTCTTTGTCTTGCTTACTGCTTTTTGTTGTGAATTCAACCTTGCTTAAGATTAAGAACACAGCACTGCTTTGTTTTTGTTTCCATTTGCTTACTATGCCTTTGTCCTTTTTTCACTGTAATTTTTTCACCCTTAAACTTTGAAACACACACATGCGCACAAAGGCATTATGTTCTCACGGTGTTCCCACTGATCAGCATCATATCCTCTCTTAATAAAGATAAAAAGTTTAGCATGTTTTCACTGGTTTCTCCTAATGTCTCCCAACCCCACTTCCCATGTTAGGATCACCTGAGAATTTAGATGATACTTTTGTTTTTTTAAAAACAGCTGACAGTGATTTTAATTTAATGACTCTACTGGCTCTCTGACCCACATATTTATAGTATCCCATGTTTTTTCCTAGGACTCATATTTAGCTGGAATACATCCTTTATTAATGATTACTGATGGTAATATCCCAAATATCTTTATTTTACTCTTCAACCTAAGAAGTAGTTTGTGTGTATAAGGAATTCTAGGTTGAGAATCACTTTCCCTTAGGATTTTGAAAATATTTCTCCGGTGTCTTCCTAACATCCAGTGCTGCTGATGAGATGTAGTGCCAATCTGAGTCTTATTCCTTTATGGAAAATTTAATTTTGGCCCTGGAAATGTATATTTTTGGTTTTCTGAAAGACTCAAGGTAGGAGATGCATATCCGTAAGTATATCTATCTGTGTGATGGTTAATTTTATGTGTCAGCTTGGTTGAGACATGGTGCCCAGAAACTTGGTCAAACTTTATTCTGGATGTTTCTGTGAGGGTGTTTTCAGATGAGATTAATATTTAAATCAGTTCACTTGTATTAAAGCAGATTGCTCTCCCCAATGTGGGTGGGCTGACACCCAATCAGTTGAAGGTCTGAATAGAGTAAAAGACTGACCTCCCCAGAGCAAAAGGGAATTCTGCACCAGATAACCTTTGAATGTACACTACCACATCAGCTCTTCTGGGGTCTCCAGCTTGCTGGACCACCTTGCATATCTTGGGACTTGTCAGCCTCTGTAATTCTGCAAGACAATGCCTTGAAATAGAACTCTTCCTATATATACACATCCTGGTTCTGTTTCTCTGGAGAACACCAACTAATACTATATGTGTATATATACTTTTCATTTTGTTAAATACTTGGTGGACTCTTTCAATGTTATCAGTCTTTCTTCCATCAGTTTTGGGAAGTGTATTTCTATGTTTTCTTTGATTTTCCCTCTCCTTCATTCTCTGTTCTTGTCTCCTGGAAATCCAGTCATATAGATAGAGATACACCTAGGTGTCTTCAGGTCTTTTTATTTTTCTTCTTTCAATCTGTCTTAGATTGGGCTACCTGAAATGGACTCTGTGGTGTGTGTACAGGAAGTTTACTGCCAAAGTTCTCTAAGAAACAATATCTGTGAGGGGGAGAGAGGCAAGGTAGGGAAAA